AACATAGCCCCTGTTTGGGCTCTATTATTTTAAATTATAATGAAATGAATGGTAATTTTTTAAAGAATGTGCAAGTAAAAAGGAATGATTTTTTTTTTAGGTTTACCTATAATTAATATTATTTTATTAAAAAGTATATAGTTGATAAGAAGAGAGAAAAAAAATGAATTTTAAATTAATGGGAGACAATCAGGGGTTAATATTCCTATAGAGTGAATAAATTTATAAAGTCTTTCTTATTCAAGAGCACAACACAATATTCTTCAATAAATATATTAATATGTATAATTTTATGATTTTTCAAGAGCAATAACATAATATATTTTTTCTAATATATTGACGTTTCTATTATAATATTATAATATAAATTTTTGCTTCTCAATAGTCATTAAAATTGTTTTTTTTTAAATATTTATAAGTTATTCTTCGAGAACAATAATGCAACATATGCAATATTCTTCTAGAATATTGATTTTGTATAAATTTGTGTTTTTTCAAGAGAATAACCTAATACATTTATGAAATATTAATTTCAAATCTGAACCTTTTAAAGGGTTATAATATAATACCTTCATGAATATTGATAAATAAAAATTATGCTTCCACTAAAGAAATAATATATTGTTTACGTAAATATTAATCTATAAAGTTGCTCTTTAGTAGCAACAATGTAATATTTTTCTAGAATACTAATTTATATAAAATTGTGATTCTCAAAAATAACAAAGTTGTGAAGAATATTGATATTTAAAAATTTATGTTTTGCAGGATAACAAATTAAACTATATATATTTAATATTTGTAAATATAAAACCTCTTGAATTTTAGATTCGACAAATCTTAAAGCTTCGAGGAGTTCAAAAATATTTAAATGACTTTATATTTGTCATGTTTATAAAATTACGAGCATTGCAGTTCGTAGATCTTGAATGAAAAACACAATGATGTTTCATACAATCTTAAAAAAATGAAAACTCTTAAAAATAATAATCGCGTTGATAATGTATTATAAACTAAAGAGTAAAGAGAAGAAAAGAGAGATAATCAAAACTCATGTATTTATTTTATTGAGAATTGTTACATCTTATAATTAGGGTTTTAAATGTACAAATATGATCATTCACAATTAGTAATTAAATTACAACTTACAAAACCTTTTATACACTTCATAACTATCCATGCTCACATTATAGTTTATTTGACCCACACTTCTTACGTCTTATCGAGTAATCCCCATTATGTTTACAATGACAAAATTTGAAAAAAGGGTGGCTAGAGACTAGAACTCATTGAACTCTGCTAGTGCTTGCACTAACATCAAATTAAATTATTTCATTTAAAGGTTTGGTCCCCGTTTGTCATGTTTTAAAATTTTAAATTGTTTTCTATAATGTCATTTTCTATTATACATTCGTACAATAAAATATTCTATACACAAATTAATATAGCTTTCTTACTTTTTTATCACACATTCTCCAAAAAATAATATTCAAAACTCTTTAATTTCCAAATAATGGATGACAAACAAGGGTTTAAACAATTTGACAAATGAAACATTTATTGAGTTAAGTTTTGCCGCTGTTTAGGAATAAATTATAATTTGTTAAAATTATCTATAAATAGAAATAAATCTACATAAATGGATAATACTTCCGAGTCATATGAAATGTATTGATAAGAAATAGTTTGACTTGTTATGTATAAACTTTGTGTGGCACATGTTTATATCCAGTTAAACCATTTTTATCAACATATTTTACATATAATTACTATCCAGTATTTCTATTTGTTTATATTTAAACTGATTATAAATAACTTCAAACATGTTAATCAACAAAGTTAATGTTTACTTATTTGAACAATAAGGGTGATTATACTATCGACAAAGTAAAAAAATAAAAAATAACCCGCAAAATTACTTAAATACTCTTAATAAGCTGATAAAGTTATTTAATTAGATTTATATCCTAACTCGTATTATTAAAGTATTGAAACGAAATTTATTTGTTTTAAAATATTTTATTTAATAAATCTAAAAAACTCTAATTACTAAAGTAATAAATTGAAAAAGAATATTGAGATATTAAATTTTAAGTTATTTTAAATTATATAAGACATCCTATTTACTTCATGCACAATTAATTATTTATAACTAGAGCTAGTTAGGTCGAAAGTAGGGTTTAAAATCACGAAAAAGTAATATTATTTATAGACCAAAATTTTTACTATTAATCAAATAACATTATAAATGATGAATTTATAGAAATGTGACTCTATTCTAGTGATCGAAATTGTGTAAACGCTTTTGTACTAATGCAATAAAATCATTTCACTTGTTAATTAAACCTATGAGTCATCTACTCATAAGTTTTGAAAACTCTTAAATTATCCATTTTCATACGAGAGATTTCTAGACAAAGAACCATAAAGGTCTTGGGAGTATTTATTTTTCAATGATTTTAAATGGTTTAAAAATTACTCAAAGTCGGCATAGTATAATTTTGATTAGTTCTCTTAACCCACCAAATCGACGAGTTTTGACTGTTTCTCATGTTATCTTTTAATTTTATTCTTTATAAAATAATTATTTTCACAAACATATATTCTTCAAAACTAATTTGTAAATAAAAAAATATATTAACTAAAAAATTTACTTATAAGTGCAAAAATTACTTTATAATTAAAAATACTGATAAGTAAAATATTACTTATAAGATAAGAAAAATTATATTATAATTTAAAAAATTATTTTTACCTTAAAAAATTTGTTTATAAAATAAAACTATGACTAATAAGACAAAAATTCACTTATAAAATATAAAAAGTTACTTATAAGTAAAAATTCACTTAAAATTAAATAAAATTATAAAATTTACTTATAATTATAAATTATACTTATAAATAAAAAATGAACTTATAATTTTAAGTATTTGTCTAATTTAATTTTTAAGTTAAATATTAATTTATATGTAAACAAATTAATTATAAGTAAAATATCACTTATGAGAAAAAATTCATATAAGAAACTATAAACTGAAAATTTTACTAAGGGACATTTATGTAATTTTATTCTGTTAAAATACATTCTGAACTAGTGGATAATAAACTCTCTAATATAAGTTGGATAGTTTTAGAAACCACTGCTAAAACCGAAGATTCCGTGAGGGTGCACAAGTTGAGCAACTACACACCACCTCAACATTTTAAGGCACCAAAAATTTTTGTTATATATATATGAAAAAAGATTAACAAAATTTATATTACATGATGATTAAAAAAAAAAAAAAAGAGAGAGAGAAATTCAAAGTCCAAAGATCCAATTATACACATGTTGACTAGTTTTTATATAAACCATTTCACAGCATAACTCGTACTAAACAGAATCGATTCACTTTACACTTCTAACCCTCTCTCCGTTAAAATTAAGTGCAACTATTATTTTTATTCACATATTGGAATAGCTTAATGCTAATTTTAAAAGCGATTCAAACTAAATGAAAGATACTTATTAACTTCGTATGAATATAAACTTAAATTATTAGCAACTTGAGTCGCTTAGTCATATATTAGTGCTATTGAATATGCAATTTTTTTTTTATTTTTTTGCTAAAATTGGGTTAAATATTAATTTATTAGGCGTTCCTATGGGCTATTAAATTAACAAGCAATTAATGCTCCCACTCCTTTATTTACATATGAATATTTTTTATAATAGTCAAATTTGTCATTAAAAAAAGAAAAGAGAAGGGAGGGGAAAATTAGAAAGTGGAGTGGAATTAGTCTTTTCTGCCTCTGAATAAGAAAAAGACAGTGTGAATAGAAACGGTTTCCCACGCACCCCAACTCATCGTGGGCCCCTAATTATTGGATGCCAAATACCTTCTTTGTGAAATTGCACCACTGGTCCTCCAATTTATCTTCATGTTGCAAGTACTATTCAAATTTTTTATTCATGACTTGGTCCTCATGTAAACCTACTTCAAATTTCTAGGCATAAGTTCGATTTAGAAAACAAAACCAAGCTTTATTTGGATATGTAAAAATTTAAAATCTTTTAAACTCCTAAGACATAAACCTGAGAAAGGAGTAACTAGAGATGAATCAAAGATTAGAAATAATAAAATAAAATAATTTTTTGAAAGAACAATAAAAAAAACTGATTGTGGTTAGTTAAAATGGTCCCAGATGAAGGATTGATTCACTAGACTTCATCTTGATTTTTAACGTCTATTCTTAAGTTATAAGCTCATCGGGTTCCCAAGTTTACCATTTGAACCAGTGTTGTTGGTTTACTTTTCAACACATTGAGCTTTACTATAGATTTGGTCGACTTATAATATCAAGCATAATGATGAAATTAGGAACTGATTTCTACGAAGACAAGTTAAATTACGAAAAAAAGCAATAACACAATAATTCACCTATTCGATGTAGATTTTTGATATCAGATTTATAGAAAGTGATTTTTATGAGAATGCTATTAAAATATAGAAAATAATTAGAAGTCAACATGCAAAATTCTTTTATTAAAAGAATGTGTAATTAAAATTGATTTTTTTTTTAAAAATTCTTAAAAATATATACCAAATAGGAAATATTACATCCTTTTTTAATTTGTTCTATATGAACTTTTATATGTTTTTATTTTCAATTTTATCAATTACATTTTTTTTTTTATCAAACTATCAAATTTAGAGCAAATTCACTTTAATTTAGAGCAAATTCACTCCAACATATAGACTTACTCGGTTTATGTTGTTCGATACTAAATCTGTAACTATAATAGAATAATCAATTTAGGTTTTTTATGGAGTTAGAAACTAACTTGCTACTTAGACATTAAGTTAAGGGACTAATTCTGCAATTTTCTCTTTGCATCTACACACAACTTACAGTTGTGAGAGTGGTCTTTGAATTTGGCGGTCTAGACTATATATTCTTTTGTCATTGGCGGAGAGAGAAGAACCGCCACCAATCCAAAATCGTAGTGAGAGAAATAGAGAAAAAAATATAAAAAGATAAAAAAAAAAAAAAAAAAATTGTTGGGAGAAAGGGTAGTTCGTTGCTCTAAAAGGTCATTATTTTTCTTCATTTAGCTGCTATTGACAACCCATTTAACAAAGATTCACTATTAATATTCGCATATAAAAACAACTTCATCAGGAAGAAAAATGGAAAACCAGTGATTTTTAGTTCTCAGATCCATTTCTTGGATGTGTCAACATAGGGATAAAGGGCTTTGAAGAAATCCTTCTGCAATTATATATTGATTTTGTGATTTTCAAGATTAGATTTTAAAGGGGGCGTCAACAAATTTCGTAATTGCTACAATGGAAAATAGTGTAACACAATCATCGGAAAATCAGCCGCCGTTGTTGGGAGAAAGGGTAGTTCGTTGCTCTAAAAGGTCATTATTTTTCTTCATTTAGCTGCTATTGACAACCCATTTAACAAAGATTCACTATTAATATTCGCATATAAAAACAACTTCATCAGGAAGAAAAATGGAAAACCAGTGATTTTTAGTTCTCAGATCCATTTCTTGGATGTGTCAACATAGGGATAAAGGGCTTTGAAGAAATCCTTCTGCAATTATATATTGATTTTGTGATTTTCAAGATTAGATTTTAAAGGGGGCGTCAACAAATTTCGTAATTGCTACAATGGAAAATAGTGTAACACAATCATCGGAAAATCAGCCGCCGCCACCGCCAGCTGAGGAGCTACTGAAGAAGATCCAAGAACTAGAAATAGGCCATGCTCACTTGAAAAAAGAGATGTCTAAGCTCACAACTTCATTAACACCGACTGCTTCAGGTGTTGTCGATCATCGTCCAAGGCAGAGGTCCCATTCTGTTTCACCGCAGCGGGCTCCACGGAGGAGGGGCGTTGGCGGGGATGGAAGTGGCGTGGCGGTGGGGAAGAGGGGTTTCTCCCCATTCCAGCAATCATCTCCGTTGCAGAGGGAGAGTAATAGCAGGGAGATGGCTGGTGGGAGTGACGGTGTGGGGTTGGCGGAGGTTAAGTTTACCGATGGGCAGTACTTGAATATATTGCAGTCAATGAGACAATCAGTGCATATATTTGATCTCAATTATCGGGTTATTTACTGGTGAGTCAATTGAACTGAACTTTAAAGTTTCATTTGTGGCTTTGTTTGATTGATTGTGTTGGTTCTTAGCCATGTTTAAAAGCAGGTGCTGCCCAAAAATCCTCAATGCCTGCTTTTTATAAGTTCAGAAGGATGCCAAAATGGATTACTGATAACAAATTGGATGTGTTTAATGATGTTCACATTACTGAAACATTGATGACCAAACTTGAGAGCTTCTTATAGGAAATTAATTAGTACTTGGAATTTATTGAGTAATGTTATAATTTCAATGTAAGATTCAGTCTATAACATCTTCTTTAACAAATATGTTTCTATTTCACAGGAATAGAAGTGCGGAAGATCTTTATGGATATTCAGCTGCAGAGGCTTTAGGGCAGGATGTTACGGAGCTACTAATAGATACTCGAGATTTTGCTGTGGGTAGTGACATAGTGAATCGAGTGGCAAAGGGGGAAAGTTGGACTGGGCAGTTTCCTATTAAAACTAAGAGAGGGGATAGGTTTATAGCTGATGTGACCAACTCCCCTTTCTGTCATGACGATGGCACTTTGGTGGGAATTATATGTGTTTCAAGTGATCCCAGACCTTTTCAGGAAGCAAAAGCAGCAATATCTCGGGCAAAAGGCTTGGAAACCGATTCTAGCTTTAGTAGACCAAGAAACTTTGCTCCAGCCAAACTTGGCCTTGATCCTCTGCAGCCTCTACAAGTAACAATAGCCTCGAAAATATCAAATTTCGTGAGTAGACTAGTTTACTTGTTTGTGCTATTATTATTTATGTAGCTTATGCTGACTTCCAGAAAATCTTGAAATAGGCTTCTAAAGTGAGCAACAAGGTTAAGTCAAAAATAAGGTCCGGAGAGAGTGACTCAGATTTTGAAGGTGGAGTTGGAGATTGCCATCACTCTGATCATATTCATGGTTTCTCGGATGCAGCTCTCTCTGATCACAGGGAGGATGCTGCCTCAAGTGGAGCTAGTACACCCCGAGGAGATATACATCCTTCTCCTTTTGGAGTCTTCTCCAGTGCTAGCCATGAGGAACACTCTCCGGGTATACCGTCCCGGGAATTTGGTGATGAAGGTGAAGGGAAACTGGGGATTTCTAAGATCATTACTTCAAAGGCAGGGGCTTGGATTGGTAAGAAAGGTTTGGCATGGCCATGGAAAGGAAATGAACATGATGAATCAGATGATGGAACAGAAGCAAAGACTTCTCGTTTTGTATGGCCATGGTTAAACAATGACCTAGAAAATGAGTCAGGTCAGCAAAAGAGTCCCAAACCCACTTTAAAATCAGAAAATCTACTGGCTCAAAGTGATCCGTCAGCTAATAATGATGCTCCAGGGTCGTGGTCCTCATCAATCAATGTTAATAGCACTAGTAGTGCTAGTAGTTATGGAAGTACTAGCAGTAGTGCTATTAATAAAGTTGATCTGGATGTTGACTGCTTCGATTATGAAATCTTGTGGGAGGACTTAACAATTGGAGAACAGATTGGAGAAGGTAAGTGCATTCCATGTTTGCCAGTAGTTATGTTGCTCATGGATGCCATGATGTTGGGGGAGGCCTAGTAAATGGAAAGCTACTTACGTATATTCCATTTATTTGTAGTCTGTAATGTTGTGCCTATTTATACATAACGTAATGTATTATATGATATCAGAGTTGCACTGGATGCTTCTGCTGCTGCTAATTCTTGTAATAGATTTTGTGAAGGAACTTGACATGAACAGAAACATTTTCTAGAGTTTTTGATCTATTATTTGATTATGGCCTTTCCTTCCCCTTTGCTTTGAATTTCCATATACCTCACACATCTTTCTCCATGTCTTTGCAGGTTCTTGTGGAACAGTATATCATGCTCTGTGGTATGGATCGGTATGTTCTTTGGCTCCTTTTTTTTTGGTAATTTTGTATCCATAAGAATGCATGAAGGCAATCCATGCACAAAATATTGTGTATGATATAAGATTTCTATCTTTCTAATAACCTCCATCCTAATATTAGCAACTAGGCATGTTTGCAACCCAAACAGGGCCAGTTGTGATCTATTATTCTTGTGGCACATGTTTATAAATCTAAAACTACAAAGTTGTTCCAGCCAAGGAATATACTTATGCATATACATTGTGTACAATGCACTGTTTTCACGATTATTCATCTTGTTTACTTCTAAATTTCTTTAGATAAAATCAGAAAATATGTCTTGTCTTCTAATTGAATAATGACTATCTTATGCAGGATGTTGCTGTAAAGGTATTTTCCAGACAAGAATATTCTGATGACTTATTATTTTCCTTCAGACAGGAGGTATTTATTCTCATTAGCATATTATTCAATTTTTCCACTATGCTATTAGATCTGCTCTTCTATTTGGTTTGACTTTTAAGTCATTTGCAAAAAGCTGCACACTATGGCTTGCCTAATATACTCTTTTTGGATAAAGGGAGATCTCTTTGATTATAATAGGATCTAGTCGTATGATGCATGTTATCTGACAATAAATTGGTATCATGGTAGAAAATGTTTTTCATTTAATTGCATACCATGTTTTGGTAATATGTTTATTAAGGTAGATTTGACAGGTTTAGACAATATTGAGCCTATGTATGGCTCATGTTTATAAACTGATTATAAACACTCAAGTCACTTTGTATCCATACATTTTAAGGACCTGCGTAGTAATATCCACTTATCCTCCACGTATTTCTATCCATTTATAGCTTGAACTGTTATAAACACTTGCCAAACTTGCTTTAAGAAAGAAAACGAGCTGAAAATTTGTTCATTGTAGTGTCTAGTACTATCTAATACTATGTACCAACCTATACACGCCGAATGTACCTTTTCTTTTGGTCTGTTATGCATTTTATTGGTATTAATACCAAAGAAAATCATGTGGGTAGTCATGTCCTTAAGAGTTTTTTGGTTTTGAAGGTGTCACTTATGAAAAGACTTCGACATCCAAATATTCTGCTCTTCATGGGTGCAGTTACTTCACCTCAACGTATCTGCATTGTAACAGAATTCCTTCCACGGTATATTCTCTACTTGTGCTAATCTTCCCTTTTTCTCTTTCAATTTTGTCCCTTAATGTAATCTCACGTGTTCTTTATGTCAACCTTGTATTTCAAGATTCAATGTTCTTCCATTAACAATTTAACAGTGTGTCCTAATAATCAGTTTCTACCGTTTTCTTGAAACAGTGGAAGTCTGTTCCGGTTATTACAAAGAAATACATCAAAAATAGATTGGAGACGTCGTATTAACATGGCTTTGGATATAGTAAGTCCCTTATACCATAGATGTATTTCTGGAATGAATTTCTTGAACTCTAACCCTACCTTATTTTTGGTATAGAGAGAGTGGACATGTTATATTCTCATGATTCATTCAACTCTTTCTTTAGCCCTTAATTGGTTATTTCCAGCATTTTCTGGAGATAATAAGGAATTCTAGAAAAAGAGTTTTCATTGTTTTTATTAGGAATTGTTTATATTTTTACAGGCACGGGGTGTGAATTATCTTCATCATTTCAATCCACCTATTGTTCATCGTGATTTGAAGTCTTCAAATCTTCTAGTTGACAAGAACTGGGCTGTTAAGGTGAGCCTTCTCTTGATTCATGTGCTTTTTAAAATCTTATGAGTTGAAATCCAACTTGTGGTTTCAACAGGTTGGTGACTTTGGTCTCTCACGTCTTAAACATGAAACATATTTGACGACAAAGACGGGGAAAGGAACGGTATGTAACGGGCACTATAAACTCTTCTTTTTGGTTATATTGTTACAAACTACTCTAAATGTCTTGTGTGCTTTATGAAAAGCTTCAAATTCATAGCTGATTGAGAACCTACTTATTTTTTGTCATGCAGCCACAGTGGATGGCTCCCGAAGTTCTTCGTAATGAACCCTCGGACGAGAAGTATGGCTAAGTGAATAATGACATTAAGTCCTTGTTTGGTTTAGATAAAAACCATATTTGTTGACTTTGACTTGGATTTTAATCTACTTTTATAGCTGAACCAAACAGGGGCTAAATCTGGTTTCAACTACGTTATGGATAAAGAGAGATGATCTTTTGGTTCTAAGCTTTGCTTCTTCTTTGGAATGATCAGGTCTGACGTCTACAGCTATGGAGTGATTCTTTGGGAAATTGCTACTCAAAAGATTCCTTGGGATAACCTCAACTCAATGCAGGTATAACTAGTATTTCTGAAAATTTATTAGGAATCTTATCAAATTGCCTCCTGAAGTGGGTGAACTAAGTGCATCGAGTCTGCTTGTGAAGGAAGAAAGTGGGATCTGGGTGGGATATTTGCAACTCCGTACAACTAGTAAGTATGTCTTTTGTTTGAATGACCAATTTTTTTCTGAATTCTGCAGGTGATTGGAGCTGTGGGTTTCATGAACCAACGCCTCGAGATACCAAAGGATATCGATCCACAATGGGCTTCTATAATTGAGAGCTGCTGGCATAGGTTTGTGTTCGCTATTTCAATGGATGTGTTTTTGCACAGAGTGGACGACTTTCAGTATTTGCCATATCACCTTTTTAGGATTGAACTCCTTCCTAAATGATTTATGACCTATCGAATTTAGTGGCTTTTTGTGATTCCCGAAATCAATAATTTGGATTAGTAGATTCGATAGAATTCCATGACATGACTGACTTTCAACACTGGTAGAGATGTTTGGAGTTCAAATTCTTGGCATCTATAGTTGGTTATGGTCATTTCCTTCAATTTCTCTTTTAGTGGTTGAAGTTCTTGACATAATGAATGTTCTTTTGTTTACACAATTTCCTATTGCAAAGGCCAAACATTCATCTACCAATTATTTCCTCTTCATTTTGCAAACTATCTGTTTTGTTGATCTCAGCGAACCACAGAGCCGTCCAACATTCCAAGAACTGGTTGAAAGGCTTAAGGATATGCAGAGACAGTGTGCCATTCAATTCCAGGCCGGTCGTGCCATTGCTGGTGATGCCAGCCAAAAAGAAGCGTAGCAGTAGAAACTGTATTATATATTTTTGACCTCAAAGTTTGTGCTTGTATTGTACAGAGGACAGACTAACATTTTCGCAAAGTTTTATGAGTTGGTGGCAAGATGATGGTTAGAGTGCGGCTTGGTTTGAACTCTCAAGGCAATTGATGGATTGAAGAGTGTATCATATGTGAACGGTCCCACGGAGAACGTTTGTAATTAACAGTCATCTTGAAATTATTTTGGTGGTGCATCAAATTCTTGAATTCTCATGTATACTGTCACACTACTGATGGTTCATTCTGTTGTGCTGAGTGCCTCCATGTTATTGATATAATTTGTGGATTTGTTATAGCTGAAAGGAAAGCAGAAAAGCATAGTGACATGATTTCCCTGTGATTCACGAAGTTTCCACGAGTTGTGCTGCAGTGAAATAACTTCGATGATAAGAAAACGTGTTAAGAGATCCTCCTATCACAATCCTAGACGCTCTTAAGATTCTTTATCAAACCTGCTCTCATTTTGAGTCAAGATACAAGATAAATAGACACGTCTCATTGCACTTATTGGAAGCATTCGTAGTGGCCGAGGGGGGGTCAAAGATCAAGATGTTTGCTGACTAACAAAGAAGAATTGTTGATCTTGCCAATTTCAACTTCGAAATTGATAAAAAAGATCAAGATCTTAGTTTCTTTTTGTTTGAACTTATTTGTGAAAAGGGTTGTGGTATATGAAAAGCTCATTATCGAACTATGTTAAAACTATCTACCACGCATCGGTTGCCCTTCTATAATCAAAACAATATCTGCCTAGTGGGAGATAAGTCGAAAAACAAATTTGCAAGGATGCAAATCATTTAAGAAGAAAAAATTCGCAGTCACAGCTAAAAATGTTTTCCACTTTCGGATTGAACTTGTCAACTATTGGAGGAATTGCATGGAAGAATATCATTACAAGCAAAGAGAGAGTTTCACTCCACTTCAACGAAATAAACTTGTGAAACATTTCTGCCTGAAATTTGAAATCTCGTGGCATGTATTTATTTTTTCCCCTCAGTAGAGCAAGGATCTAATGGCAGCAACAGCATCAGCTTTGTTCTCGCACAATGTTCTTTCGGCCACCTTCTTGTCGAGCTGTTTACAAGATAATAGAAAGTATTTCAAGTGGTGAAATATTCATAGAAAGAGGTTGAGAAACTAACCTCAAGTTCATTTGCAATGACATCCACATTAGCTGCATTAATCTTAACAGCAGCTAATTCCTTCACCCTGTGATAAAATTATTCAAAAGGGTAATTAGTACAAAATATCATTACCTTTTAATGTTATTATGCGAAATACATTTTCAACCCTATTGTGAAAAAGGTCATTTTCATCTAATTTCTCAATAGAAAAATGTAAAATAACAAACATATCCTCTTATTTAAAAAAATAAATGAATAAGAAAAATTATACAACAAATTGTAATTATACTCCTTAACTTTTTAAAAAACTATAAATGAATCCAAATAAATTATTAAAAAAGTAATTAACACAATACGTTCCTACCCATTAATATTAATATGCAAAATTTCCATACCTTTTATTTTTGACATTTTCACCCTTATTTTCACATTTCGTCACGAAAATCATCATTTTTCATCCATTTTCTAAATTACAAGCTGTAAAATGACAAACATATCCCCCCCCCCCCATGTAAATAAAACAAAAGTAAAGAAAAGAAAAATAAATAACAAATTGCAAATATACTCCTAAATTTTTCAAAAAGTAAAAATAAATAATTTAAAAACGCAAAAAGTTTTTTAATTTTTTATTTGAATTTTTTTTTTTTGGAAAAAAATTGGGAGTATAGTGGCAGTTTATTCTTCATTTTTCTTTTCTTTATTTTTGTTTTATTTAAATAGGAGGGTATATGCTTCATTTTACAGCTTTTAATTGAAAAAATGGATGAAAATGATGATTTTCGCAATGAAATGTGAAAATACCAAAAAATGAAAGGTATGAACATTTTGCAAAATAATATTGAAATGTAGGAATGTTTTGTGCTAATTACCCTTTTAATGATTTATTTGGACTCATTTGCAGTTTTTTTTTTTTTAAAAGTTAGGGAGTATAATTGCAATCTATTTTTTTATTTTTCTTTTCTTTTTTTGTTTTATTTAAATAGGAGGGTATATTTGTCATTTTATATTTTTTTATTGAGAAATAAGATGAAAATGATCTTTTTCGCAATGAAATGTAAAATAGGGGTGAAAAATGTCAAAAAAATGAAAGGTATGAACGTTTGAAAGGTAAGGACATTGTATGCTAATTACCCTTAATCAAATCGTAAAAATAATGAAAATGCAATGTACGCACAAGTACCCAACATGTTCATACATTATTTGAAATGATAATTGTAGTTTGAGGTAGAGCAGATGATACATAACTCGCTAGCTCAATTGCTATTGATCTCAATCATGAAGAAAAAGAAACCACTTAATAGATTATGAAATTTCATGGAGAAAACCCTACAGCAGAATGAATAGGAACAGAATTTTGAACTCAAAACTTCATTAAGGTTAGGGTTTTATTTTTTTCTTTTAGCTTGAAAGGGAGCAGACTACTAGAAATAATTGGATTTGCCAGAAGGGGATCCATGTGCAAGAAGAAGAAGAGGAGGATCCATGTCGCTGAACACAAAGTAACTATGGAATAGGGTTTCGTTGAGTTGGGCTGAGAATGTTATTTAGAATAGAATAGCAAACAAAACATCGCAGTATGAATACTTGCTGGGCAACTGTATATTATCAAAAAGTACCATATTACATTGTTTTGGATCTAACTTTCCTCCTCTATAAATAACATAAGTTTGTAAATCCACGAGGAACCATGCCAATTCTAGATCATGGAAAATCAGTGGTAGAGCCAAAAAATGATGTTAGGATAGATTGAAATTTAAAAATTTTCGAATAAATTCCTGACACGAGGCTAAATTCATATGACATTCACAACAAAGAGTGTGCAACACTCAATGAAATGGAAAAACTTTAGATATTTCACTCTGAGATGTCCCACTAGAACTTTTTATATTTTCTTAAAAAATTGACGCTTACATTATAAAATGACCAAACCATTATCGTTATAAGCAAATGATACATATTCACCAATGAAAAACTAATAAATTATTTAATGAATATTATTCCAAATAAATTTGATGACCAGTATTTTCAAACAAATGAAAGCTTTGGTCAAAACACGCAATCAATGATACATTACTATATGTTATTGTTTCAAAATACGATTTGGTATGGGCAACAATCTTCTATATCACTTCATTTCATAGTGAGTGAGGAATCATATTTAAAGAGAAAAATTGACTAAGAATTACGAGGGTTCAAAGAAATTAGAATTAATTCATGTCCATATTTTGCTCAGCTTCTAGAATATAATTATATGTAGATTAATTTATAAATGAATAAATTTTAACAAATATTCTTTTTACTGACGAAATCAAATTTAGAGCAAATTATTTATTTTGATCATAACGTCTAATTCATGGGCAAAATAATTCATTTGTTCTTATAAGTATGAAAACATATGTAAAAATAAAAAATTAATTACTTTTAAGCTTAGCAAAACATGTAGTATATAGTGTCTCTAACTATTAAAATAAGATTTGAACAATACAAATTTTCTATTATAAAATTTACATAATTACCATAAGTAAATTTAGTCAAATATGCATTAAATAAAATGCCTAATTTAAAAATAAGATATTCACGTTTCATAAATGTCATGAAATAGTATTTAATAATTGTAGCATCTTCAATAAGATTTGATTAATTGAGCATTGAGCTTTGGGTTAGAATTCAAAGTTGGACAAACACAAATATTTGGACCAAAATTGAACAAATTATTCTTAATTTTCCATATAGGCTAGGGGGTCGGGCTGGGCTATAGCCCATCCCAGCCCCACACTACCTCCGCCGCTGCAAAATGATGTCAAGTTTGTTGAACCATTAAAATTCATCATGCTTGTTTGTGAGAAGAAAGTTTTTGCCAAAACTGCAGTACCTAGATAAATAATATAATTAGCTAACAGCCACATGAAGACATAAAAATGATTCATTTTAGTTTTATCATTTTCGATTATGAGCCACATATAGTTCAGACGTAATGAACATTTCAACATGCAAAGAAATGATAGAAAATGCTAGAGCACAAGATTATAACCAAGAGATTCTCTCTTAGAATTACATCTAACATACATACACTCATCATCTCCTATAAATGTATCAAGGAAAGTCAGCTTTACTCCAACTCATCACACAATTATCCAATAATTCATGCAAAGTTCTAAGGTCAACTCCTTTATCTGATTGTAATACAATTTACTTTTTCTATACCTTTGATTCTGGTAGTTTGTCAGCATATTGTTTTTATATTGTAGATTATTCTTCTACGACTTGTATATATACAATGCACATGTTATGCTATCATTTTGTACAGTATTCTTCTAAAACTTGTATACTTACGTTTTATGTGTAATAAAGAAGCCATTTATTCATCCTTCGTATCTTTGGTATCAGAAGCTTTCCCCTGCGGACAACCTAGATCTGATTTTGTCATGACAATTAAAGCATATCCTTGGGAAAAATCAGACTTGTCATCAGCACTCCAACATCAACTGCTATCCTTCAGCACTCCTAGAAGCATCTGCACTAATGTAGAAGCTCGACTTCCACAGGAAATTTACACCAACTATCCACTATGACATGCACAGTTTCACTCTGTTCTCCTTGGCTATGACCTATTGGGTTATCTTGATAATCTACTCCTTGCTCACATCACTAGAATGGTGGATCCACTCAACTTTTGCCTATTATCCATTGGAATTAGATAAAAATTTGGCATGGATCAATGGAGCTTGACTGCATTCCACCAGTGATTGATAGAACAATGATTTGGACAAGAGCTGATTTTCCAAACTTCAAAATGGGTTCCCTTTCCCATTTTATCTTCACTACTCCATTAACATTTGTTCATACTGCTCCGGCATATAGGCTACAATATAACATGCAATTCAGATCCAAGCCTTAAGGCAAGAATAAGAGCCACTTTTTTCGCCCAAAAGGGATTTCAGTATCAAGACGGCTAAACCGTAAACCGTAATATTGAATTTCTATGATCAAATAAAATGTCCGAAAGCCCCCAAACACAAAATTGAATCACTTCTACTATTTAAAAATGTAAACAGCGTGCATTTATCTACTACCCACACATGGCATCAATCAATGACTCAACACCGACAAAAATAAAATAATAATAACTACCCTCACTCTGGCAGGTTGAATGTCAGCCTCTTTCGGAGCAGCAATTGAAGCCATAGCCAGATAGCCTACACCAAAAAATAATAATAATAAAAAATAAATCAAAATCAAAATCAAAATCACCATTTCATCCAAATTACATCCATACATAGAAAAATATATCATAAAATTGATCTCTTGGACTCGGGTCGAATAGAGCTGGCGATCCTCGACTCGGTCAGTAAGCTTGTCCAGGGCTTTGCTCTGCTGCTGAAGGTCGTTGGAGTCCTCCATTCTTTCAATTCTTTATTCCCCTCCCTCCATCGATTTGCCTTTTTTCACTGTTTCTTTCTTTTTCTTTTCTTTTCTTCGCTTTCAATTTCAAGAAGTGATATTCCTTATTTCAGGTATTTTATTAGTTTTCTCAATATCTGGTCGGAGGGATTAGGGGTGACAAATGGGCCGAGCGGCTCGTCAACTTGCTCACTCGGCTGGCGAAAACAGATTTCGTGAGCGCCTCGGACTTGTAAAAACACGTGCCCAAGCTGAGCCGAGCGGGCCGGTTCGGTGGGCGAGCCGAGACAAACGAATGGATCTACACGCATTTGTCGAAAACTTGTTCGGTGTGGGAGGAAACGAATCGCCTATAACACCGTAAAGTCAATTTCAGAATCAATTTGAAAGTCTAAATGATGTACCCCTACCTGAAGATATTCCAGATTTGGATCTTCATCATCATGTAAGCGGCAATCCAAATTATTCAATTAATTTGGATGATGTTGACGTTCTCGAAGCGGAACACGATCAGGAAGAAGAGGCTGAATTAAACATTCCTGATGCGAGAGGAAAACGAAAGGGAAAAAAACAAGCAAAATGTTGGGATCACTTTAAATTGATTTCAACGGGAAAAATCATCAATGGAGTCCAAGAATCCAAAACAGTATGTAAATACTGGCAACAAAAATTGGCATGGCAAAGAGGAATTAGTACCACACATCTCAACCGTCATTACAAAGTATGTGCGGTCAAACACGGACTTATTTCAAGCTGTCAAACACAATTGCAATTTGGCAGTTCAGACGCCGGTGGTTCTGCTACACCTCTATCCACATGGGTGTATTCGGAGGAAAGAGCTCGAACTGAAATGGTGAAGCTTGTTAATGGTGCTGAGTTGCATTCGGCATTAATTGACAACCAACACTACGCTTCGTATGTGAAAGAATATCTGCAGCCAATGTACGTTGGGATAAGTCGAAACACTCTTCGTTCCGATACAATACAATATTTTACTTCAACAAAACAATAATTAATTATGGATTTGCAAAAATATGGGGGTGTCATATTTTTAACTTCGGATATATTTAAAGAGATTAATAAAAGAGCATATATAGCTGCAACTGCACATTATATAGACCCACTTTGGTGCATGCATAAAAAAATTATTGCTTTTGAAATTATTGAGTTTCCTCACAACGCTAATAATATATTTAATACTATTATTAGTATTGTTAAAGAATATCATTGCAAAGGTAAAATTCGTTCATTTACTTTCAATAATGCTAGTGTTAATAAAGTAATTGCTGATAAATTGCATAGGGTACTGCAACCTGATTTTGGTGGGTATTTATTTTATATTCGTTGTGTATGTTATGTTTTGAATTTAATTGTCCAAAATGGTTTAGAACATATAAAGGATGAACTTCAAAATATTAGGAACGCACTAATATATATCACAATCTCCCCAAGTAGAAAACAAGCATTTGAGGATTATTGTATCGAAATAGGAGTGCAAAATGCTAAAATATTTGTAGCGACGTAGGTCATAGGTGGAACTCTACTTACTTGTTATTAAAGTCATGTGAAGATTTTGAACATTTAATAACTGGCTTTTATAACAATAGACATGTTAGAAGTGATGACGATGGTATGTTGACTGAATATGATTGGCAAATAGCTTTGAAAGTTAAAAGATTTTTGACATCTTTTTATGAAACCACTAAGATTTAATCAGACGTTTACTATCCCACCAGTTGTATGGTGCTTGAACGTCTTTATATAATTGTAAGAATATTTCATAAATACAGAAATGACCCTGATTTTAGTAAAATTATAATTGTTATGGAATTAAAATTTAGAAAATATTAAGAAGATTTGCCTATATTATTTCCTTTAGCATGCGTGATGGACCCCCGATATAATTTATCAGGAACTAAATATATAATTGATCAAATTTCAAACGCCTTAACATTTGATACACCTATCACATATAGAAATTTAGAGTAAACATTATGTGAAATGTATGAATTATATGCGAACCGAATGGGTACCAATATTAGTCGGGTACCATCTGCACCTACTCCTTCCGCTGAAATTGAAGAAGAAGATGCGAAAATATTTAATTTATTTCAAAGCATTAATTCGTATAGATATGATTCATCTGCAATGTGTTCATCTACTACCACTACCATGTCGTCACCATCTGTATCTCATTCTCATCAAACATCTACGGGCTCAAGCCATAATTCATTGCCTACTGAATTAATTGATTATTTCAACCAGAATATGCCAATAGATAAAATAATTAAAAAAGTTTAGACTAAGTAATTGAATTCTGGCGAAGGTATGAACGACGTTGGCCAGTTATATCTGCGATTGCAAAAGATCTGCTAATACCTCCGGTTAGCATTGTTGCTTCGGAGTCTGCTTTTAGTGCAAATAAAAGAGTTTTGAGCGAGGTCAGGAGTCGACTGAAAGAAGATATTTTAGAAGCATTAATGGGCGTTAAGGATTGACAGGACGCTCATTTTTTACTACAAGATAAATATGTCGAAATTGAATGTCGTAAAGTAAGTGATATTTGATTTAATTATATTGATGAAACTTTTCTTTTCTTATCGTTACTTTTAATTTTTTTTAAAAAATTGTATACGTTACAAAAAAATGTTCGTGTACAATTTTTAACTCCGCCTACTGAAAATTTAAATAGCCTGTTCCAAGCCCGTATAAAAAATGAGGGTTTATATTTTATCTATTTTAAAAAGAAAAAAAATAAAGATTTCATTTTTATTTTTTTTTATCTCTTTTAGTTTAAAAAAAAAAAGAAAAAAAAATTCTTTCCACCTATTTAGTTAAATTTTTGTTAGTACTTGGTACTATTACTACTATATATCTGCATTTTAAATTATTTTCTCGAATAACGCTGTGCGTACCTTTGCATATAATTTTCGAAGTAAATTCCTTTTGAAAATTGAAAGGGTAATCGAACAATTGCCCTTTTAATTGTCAAAAGTCTTTTACTTCGAAGATTATATATAATCTTCGAAGTGAAAGATTTCTATATAATTTTTGAAGTGAAGACTTCTGACAATTGAAAGGGCATTCGATTACCCTTTCAATTTTTAGAAGGGATTTATTTCGAAAATTATATGCAAGGGGACGCGCAGCGTTGCTTGAAAAAATAAATTTTAATACTGTTTTAAATTTTCTTTAAAAAATTGTATATGAACAAACAACACAATTTTTAACTCCATCTACTCTAAATTTAAGTAGGCGGTCCCAAACCCGGATAAAGGAAAAGGGTTTAAATTTTTTACCTAATTTTTTATATATAATTCACGATTTAAAAATTAAAATTATTTTTTGATTTTCCAATTTACCTATTTGTTTTAAAAAAAAATGACATCTGCTCCCGAGCTGGACTCGACTTGGCCCACGAGCTGCCTCGTGCCCAGGTAGGAATGTAAACGACCCGGGCCAAGCCGGTTCGCAAGCCTAAAGTTCTGGCTAGGGCTCGGCCCGGTTAAAATGGCCAAACTTTTTTGCGGGCTCGAGCCTTTTGCTCGGCCAAAAAAATAGGCTCGAGCTCGGGCTTTTTCCGAGTCGAATCGGGCAGGCTCGTTTTCTCAATTTTTTTCCTCCTAACTGCCTTGAAGGTAGCAAAGTTGCTGCCTTTTAAGGCAGCCTCAAAATTTTTTAATTTTTTTTTAAAAAAGCTTGCGAGCTCACGGGCCAGCTAGAGCAAAGCCCGTGTCCCCTCGAGTCTACCGAGCCCCTAACCGAGTCGGCTCAGGCTTTTTTGGAACCGAGCTGGCGAGCCCAATTGCCATCCCTATACCCACGAGCCACAAGCTCGCTCATTTCTGGACGAGCTGAGGTCGGCTCGGCTCGGCCCGGCCCATTGACACCCCTAAGAGGGATTAGATGATGGGAAAAAAATCATAACGCACGTGTATTATTTACACCAATACCAATTGAAAAGTCAGTAAATAGTTCGAAAATTTCAAATTTAATTTATAATTAATTAATTAAAAATATTTATTAGTTAAATATATTAAAGTCACAATCATAGAATTAATGGTCACAAATACGCAATTATAGGTCACAATTTATTTATTGGTTACATATCATCAAATTAAATAATCACAGATTATTTCGAGGTCATAAATTAAAAATTTTATAGGTCAGTTTATTTCGAGGTCACAAATAAAAAATTTGGAGATCACAGATTATTTCAAGATCAAATTAGTTGGTCACATATTATCAGAATTTTAAGTCACAATTAAATTGTTGGTCATAGATAACTAAATGATTAGTCACATACACCAAATAGTGGTCACAATTTAATAGTTGATCACAAATAATCAAATTGTTAGTCACATACACCAAACGCACCATCCCAATCCAAATCTATCATCGATGCTTGGTCACAAATCAACCAAACAGTTGGCCACAGATGATATCCCACCCCGCCCCCCCCCCCCCCCCCCCACAACCACCGACAACAAAATAAATGACCACCATCACACAATCGCCGCCTGCACCCCCACAACTGACTCCTACACATCATATAACACCCACAACGTCACCATAACTATCGCCAACAAAAAAAATGACTACCACTATACAATCGTCGCCTATACCCCGCAATCGGGTCTTGCACATCAGATAACCACCACTCACAGATCATAATATCTACACCACCATCGCCTTTGCACCATCACCACTATCACCATTTGCAACTGCCGCCTACAAAAACCACCAAAAACTTCAACAGGCCAGATTAACTCGAAAACCACCCACAAAAAATTGAAGCGGCTACTACAACGACGACACCACCCAACACCGTTGCATCCAACCATACCACTATCTCACATCATCGATTTGAAAGAGTCCCTAACCCCAGCACCACCACCTCACCCCATGACCACCACAACATCAACACTAATACTAAACTGTAGCGTCATCGTCAAACAACTGCAGCAACATTGCCCCAAAAATCCGACAACCACCTATGACAACTGCTAAACCTCCAAATAAAAGGCCATTCTAGGCTAATGAAATGCAACTGCAGCGACTAAGATTTGAGCGACTGCGCCGTTGTCGATTTAGAGAGTCTACACCG